AGAAATAAAAAGAACTCCAAGCTCTTAAAGTAGAACATCAAGGGCTTCCTGTTGCTTAATCAATTGCAATGACCCAGAATACAAGCTTGGATTAACATGTGCCTCTAGATTAGGGCTAATCAGGCACAGGCTGAGCAGATGCAGGGACAATCCCAGCCTGATTACTATACCTCAGCATTTAATCATCTCTCTTCCAAGGGCAGCCGGCCCGACTTAGTGCATGCTGCGTTTTGAAGCCTCCAGTCCCCGCCCCCTTTCCCTTGCTGTGGACATAAAGGCTGCTGGGTCAGAGACACTGAGGCGATTTAATCTAATCCCATGTCAAAATGCCTGTGTGTTTTGAGGGGGAGGGTGTCTTAAAACCTCCACAGTGGGCTGGTAATGCGTTTATTTAAAGTGGAGGTAGACTGAAGCTGCATGTAGAAAACAGTGGAATTGAGATTTCAGGGCATGTGAGGTTATGAAATGACCCTTCCTTGCACATGGAATTTCTCCCTCTGAAAGGCTTCCAGGATGTGTAGTTGCTGTCACCAGTTATTCACCCCAAGAGAGCTTTGTGTAGGAGTCATTTCATCGCCCAGTTATAGTGGCCAAATTTGCTCCTTTCCTGACTGATGTGGAGTACAGAAGATGGAATCTTTTACAAATGGTTTCATTTGGATGAATCCTGAATGTAGTATTTTTGGCATTGCTTTTTTCTGGGCTGGGAGCTCCTGCCCTAAAGCAGCCTCATCATTCTAAAACTCACCCACCTTAATCATCCAGTCCCTAGAAGGGACACATGCGAAATCTTAGAAGCCAGGTTTTATTCATGAGTGTAGAAAACATGTATTGAGCACCTGCTGACTGTTAGGGACCCAGAGATGGAGACTCAATCCCTCCCTTGAGGAATTTATGGTCTCATTGGTGACAAGACATGTAAACAGTGGTGATGAATAAGACCATTGACTCCATAAAGCCTGTACACAGTGCTGTGGGACCCAGGAGAAGAGGACCCAAGACAGGAGAGGAGAGACTGGAGCCGGCTCTTGGAAGAAGAGGAGAGGAGCCTACTCCAGGCAGAAGTAGCAGTGTGTGCAGGCAGGGAGGTGAATGCTTGGGGAGCCTCGGTCAAGTAGTTCACCTGGCTGGCATGGAAAGTGAGTGGGTATTAGCGGACCACCGGGCTTAACTAAATAACAGGGCCCACATGAAGGGTTTGGATACCTGCAAAGGGGTTTGGACTTTATATCCAAATATATTCAGTGGGACGTTGGAAACCACTGAAAAAAGGAGAGCAACAAGATCAGTTTGTATGTTCAAAAGATCATTCTGGTCATAGCAGTCTCAGCCAATATATATTTTTGCATTTGGACCTTTCTCCATTTTATTGTGGAGCAAATCTTCCATGACACTAAAAACCATTTTAACAGCAGTTTTGGGCATGGACCGACATCATTAGAAACCCAATGCATCATAAGCCAGGGTGAAAGAAATTTAACTTTTGACAATTCTTTAAGCTTCTGGTCACCCCTGCCCTAACCTAGATGGCTGCTCATGGTTAGAAAGGGTCTCCCTGCTCACAGTAGTCACTGTATTTGTAAATCGTGTGACTCGTTCCCCAAGTTTGGAGCTTTCAGAACTGAATCAAACCCAGAAGAGCAATGAAATGAGACTGATTTGTGCTTCTGCTTTGGGTTGCTCTGTGCCAGCATGTGGGCTCTCTGGGCGTGGCAGAGATGTGCATCAAGTCTCTTTTTATGTTGCATCATCAAATACTTATCTCCTATCCCTAAACTGGCAAAACTTACTCCTGGAAAAGTTACCTGCAAGTTAACACTGTGAAATAACATTTTATATTTTATTTGTTTTGCATTAGAAAATATTCTCACATCCCTTTTTTAAAATTAATTTTTATTTTCATCAAAGTAGCATATAGTTTGAAATGTCACAGAGGATTAAAAGTGAGTCTTCCTTGGTGGTGGCGCTCTTCCATCTGGTGGTTCCTCCTGTGGGCCCCCCACTGAAGAGGCTGATTAATCCAACCTGAATATGAGTGTAGCACTGGTACCACATAGTACCACTGAAGAACCCAAAGTTATAGCAAATTCTGTGGCAATTTTAAAGTTGAGTTGGTATAGTAACTTCCCGGGCCTTCTCAATACTTTAAAATGGACTATCTGCGCAGGGCAAGGAAATAACATTGCACTGTATAAGCACTGGAGTGGAAAGTGCAATGTCTTTAAACTCTATTAAAATTGGTACCCTTGGCCCCATGAAAAGGACCAAAAGACTTTTTTTTTAAGTCTGTATCCCAGAAGCAACATTATATGCTCTTTTTCTATTATGTATCCTTACTGCTCTAAATAATAGTCTTGTGTCATTATTTTTTTAGTTGAGACATCATCTACAAGTTTTGGATAACTTGGCATCTATGTTTACATTATTATAACCACATAAAAATTACTCATTGCCAAGATGAATGTAATTATTATGATTATATTTCCTTTTTTGTACAACTTTTATTTTCTCTTCAAGTTAATACCTGTCTTTTTGGTGGGGGTGAGGCTTCTACTTTTTAACTATTAAGCACCCATTTTGTCCAACTCTGCTCTAGAAAAGCCTCTTTCCCACGTGGTCATGGCGTTTTCCCCACAAGCTCTGTTGTCTCAGACCTGCTGCGCAGCCTTATCCTGGGCCCCTCAGCAGCCCTCAGACTCCCTTCACCATTCTCCGTGGTGCACTCTGTCTCCTAGATCCCGCGGCTGCTGCCTTCTTAGTTTTCTCCTGCTTCTGTGGACCACAGCCTTCAAAGCTTCCGGAGGAAGCATGCATGGGTGGCCAATTTTTTGAGCCCTTACTTATCTGGAGATGTCTGTATTCTGCCCCACAATTAATGGATATGGCTGTCATTTCATGGGCTGATTACAGAATTCGAGGCTGAAAGCATTTTCTCTCTGACACTTGAAACCATTGCTCCATCATCTTCTAGCTTCTAGGTTTGTTGTGGAAGAGTCCAACACTGTTCTTATTCCCAGTTCGTTGTATGTGACTTTTTCTTTCTGGAATCCATTAGGGTCTTTGCTTTATCCCTGGTATTCTGAAAATTTGCAAAGATGTGTCTTAGTGTCTAGATCTTTTTACATCTGTTATATTTGGCATCAAATGGGCCTTTTCAATCTGGAACTCATGTTTTTCAGTTCTAGAAATTTATATATCTGTCTAATAATTTCTTACCTCCTATTTTTTCTATTCTCTTTTATTAGAGGTTGGACCTTATAAGTCATATTTTCTCTCCTGTCCATCTTTTAATCTTTTGTACTCTGGAACATTTTTGACATCTGATTTTATTTTGAATATATTTCATCTATTGGAATTTTTTATTTAAAATTTTTTTTCTCTTACTCCTTTTAATTATATCCCATTTTATGATACAAATCCCTTATCTGAGTATCCTCAGATACTCAGATAAGGGGCATTTGTTTTTGTTTTCCTCTGCTCCCCACATTGTCTCTGCTGCCCCTATCGGCCTCTCTGTTCCTTAAAAGTAAGACACTGAAACACTGATTGTCACAGGGTGTGCCAGGGAAGGGTGAGGTGACCTGTAGGCCTCAGTGTCTATATTAGGACAGCAGGCCAGATTTTTCACTATCTCTCCTACCTCCTCACCCCCAAATATCACCTTTTCCCCCATTCACTATAATTATAGTAGCAGAAGAAAGGAAGATATATGCATTTGTTCTGCCTTAGTTAACTGGAAAATTCCTTTTTTAAAAAATATATAAAGTCAGCTTTCCTGTTTTAGGAAGGACTACATTTTTCTGAGATTATGTGCTGCTTCCTTTCTTGATGTTTAACTGTCTACTCTGAAATAATAGTGATAGTAGGAGGGAGATGGAGTCAGGCACAGTGGTATATGCCTATAGTTCTAGCTACTTGGGAGGCTGAGGCAGGAGGATCACTTAGCCCAGGAGTCAAAGTCCAGCCCGGGCAACAGAATGAGACCCTGTCTCGAAAAAAGGAAAGAAAATTTGGGAAATGAGGTTGGAGTATTTATTTATTTTTAGTTGTCCCCAAAATGTATTTTTAAATTTTACTGGTCTGTGAAATCTAAAAATCAGGAAACCAATGACCTAGACTTTATTTATTTATTTATAAGTTCAACTCTGAAGGAAAGGACATAAATGGAGCAGTGGATAGGAGAAGAAGACAGGATAGGAGAAGAAGTTTTTTCTCTTCAGGCTTGAGCACAGGCAGAAAGGTGGTTGAAGAAGACAGTGTAGCAGAATATCAAGGAAAATAATGGTGGCCTACTCCTAGAAAGGGAAGACAGTCAGAGGGGCCATGGGCAGTCCACACCTGTTGGGCCCCACTTTCCTAGAGATGAAGTGGACAGGGTCTTCTCTTGGCAAATTGGGGAGGCCCTGCCCTGAGGCATGTTTCCACAGTTTCTCCAAACTTTTCTTTCCTGGTAGTCTGTTTTAAAAATTAAAATGGAAGAAAGTTGATTTCATAGAAGTAGAGAATAGAATAGTGGTTACTAGAGGCTGGGAAGGCCCAGAAGAGGTTGGGCAACAGGTACAAAGTTATAGTTAGGAGAGTAAGTTCTCGTGTTGTGTCACACAGTAGGGCAACTGTACCAAATAATACTTTAGACCTCTGCTTAGCTAAAAGGGAAGATTTTGAGTGTTGTCACCACAAAATGGCAAATGTTTAAAGTGATGAATATGGTAATTACCTCAATTTGATCATGTCAAATGTATGCATGCACTGAAACGTCACACTGTACCCCATAAATATGTGTAATTGTTACGTGTCAACTATAGATTTTTAAAACTATTTAATGAAAAAAATTAAAATGAGATAGGGAAAGAGATTTATTTGTGCCTGGGCAGTGGCTATGTGACTGCCTGGGGCTGGCAGACAGTGAGACCCTATAGGGCAGGAGCTGCTTGCCCCTGTCCAGCCAGCACCTGGGAACTGAGCACCAGCCCCACCAACCGTCTCTTTTGTCCCCCCAGGCCTGGTCCAGATCCCTGTGAGCATGTACCAGACTGTGGTGACCAGCCTCGCCCAGGGCAACGGGCCAGTGCAGGTGGCCATGGCTCCTGTGACCACCAGGATATCGGACAGCGCAGTCACCATGGACGGCCAGGCTGTGGAGGTGGTGACATTGGAACAGTGACAAGCAGCCATATCATGGCATTGTTTTCTAGTCTACTTCAAAATTTTTTACACGTTTGCAGAGGTGCAATCAAATGGAATTAAGTCTCTCGACTTTGGAAGAAAAGTTTTGTTTAACCTTTTTTTAAAAGGAAGAAAGACAGCGGATTTTGGAATTGCATTTTTTAAAGCACCACTCAATTTTCTGGGATTGGTGGAATAAGAAACTGCATCGTCAATTTCACCACCCCAAAAAAGCCAAATTGTGGCAGGACTTCTTTCTGCAGAAACGTGTGTGTATACTTATGTGTGTGTATGTGTGAGTGTGAATATATGTATATGTGTACATATGGACATACACATTTACATATATATAAAGTATATATATACATATATATATATGTATGAAACCCGCATGGAATTATCTGTATGAAATCAAGGTGAGCTGTGGAAACAATAATTCACCCAGTTTAGTGGGTGGTAGGGTACGTGGCCAGACACAGTCACCCGGTTTTTGTTCATACCAGGGTCATGCGTTGAGCTACTGACAAACTCAGGCGGAGGTGACCATGCCCTTCACCAAAGCTGCCTCCCAGTGGCCGCCCAGAACTTTCTCTGCTGGACTCACCTGAGGAAGGAGATTCCAGAACGAGATGGGTCCAGAAAATGTGCTTACGAGGTCTAGAGGCCGTGTGGTCTGCCACCTGAGATGTTCCTTGGGCTGGCCCAGGTGCTGACCTTGCCACAGGCAGATGAATGTCCTAAAAGCTCCCAGGCAGGGACAAGAGGGTTCTCCTCAGCCTCCCATCTCCTCCCCTTCCCAGGAATCCTTCTTGATCTCATGACTATTAAAATGTTGCTTTGGTTTTAAGGTCAGTCCTGAATTGGTCATGTATGTGAACTGAAGGTAACAGAAGTATTAAGGGTTGAAGAGTGCGAGAGTGTGTTAAGTGTGCTTGTGGGTGTGTGGTGCGTGGTGGGGGAGAGAATGGGAAGGGGGTGGGAGGGGTTGGAAGGGAAAGGAAGGAGGGAGAGAAACATCTTCCTGGACCAGGGCACCTGAATGGGAGCAATTTTCTCTAGCTGTCTGTAGCTGAACAGAGGAGACGCTGGAACTGAAAGGAAGGGACACCTGGCTCATGAAAGGTTGGCCATCACCATGGGACATGGCAGAAAAGCACTGAGGGTGTTTCCTGCATGCCTGGATCAGGCCCCGCTTCGGAAGGGACTCTGCAAGACCCATTTTCCTGGGTGCAGCCTGGAGGCCCAGGTCCTGAACAGCTTTCCTGCTCACAGGTGTTGATCGGTCTGGGTATTCTTTGTAACTATCAAATTCTGTCTTTCTCAGCTGCAGGCCCTGTTCCAGTGGCTAAATTCACCTGACTTTTTCAACAGGCCAAATCTCTGCTCCTTGCGTACAGGGACAACTCTTCCTCCCTCCCCCTAGGCCCCCCCATATGTGTGATAGTGTATTTAATGTGTTTTTTTAAATGCGACATTAAAAGATTCTTCATGTCTTGCTCAGCCTTTGAGAAAAGTTTCAGATTCTTGTATTTGCTTGTTTTATATAAAACTATCCAATGTTCTTTGTATGTTCTTTTCTGTACGTAATGGGGGGGAGGGAAGGGAAATTTACATATAAATAGTCCTAGTTCTACAATTTGTTATTTTTTTAATTATTATTTTTTATCGTCATTGTGAAGCTGTTCAGGGGCTTTAAAGTCCGTGTTCCTTTGTGGTGAAATAACCTCTTAATAGTTTGAGAAATTGCCAAGAAGAAGAAAAAAGCAAAACTCCAGTAGCAGAGCATGGATTCTGTGTTGTTTTCCATTCTGTCTATTACTGCCTCATTAAATAAATAGTTAAAAATGTGGCAACAGGAAGTGGAACTGTTCATCTCTATAGGAGCACTTGGCTTCTTAGGCAAAAGGAATTACATCTTGGGGTGGCTTCTTCTGTTTTCTAAAAGGTACTTGTCAGCCTGGGTGACAAAGTGATACTGTCTTAAAAATATTTTTTTTCAAAAAAGGTATTTGTACTCAAGATCAGTGATCTTTCACCTCTGCCCCCTGGCACTGTGGGGCTCCATGAGGAAGACACCGAGGATGAGCCCGGGACCTCCTGCAAGCACAGTCACCAGACCACCTCCATTTCCTATATAATCTGTTTTCTTATACTGATGTTCTAGGAGAAAAATCTAATTTGAAAAATCCTAAAGATAGTTTGAAAGCCTCTACTCTGAAGGGTTTGTTGTTGTTGTTGTTGTTATTTGTTTTGAGACAGTCTTGCTCTGTCACCCAGGCTACAGTACAGTGGCATCATCACAGCTCACTGAAACCTCAAACTCCTGGGCTCAAGCAATCCTCCTGCCTCAGCTTCCAAAGTAGCTGGGACTACAGGAACACACCACAAGGCCCAGCTAATTTTTCTATATTTAGTAGAGACGGGCTCTTGCTTGCTCAGGCTAGTCTTGAAGTCTTGAGCTCAAAGGATCCTCCCGCCTCGGCCTCCCAGAGTGTTAGGATTACAGGCATGAGCCACCATGCCCAGCCCTGTAGGGTTTTATTAAAGTTTCATATCCACATGAAAATCAGGGTGAGTGATGGTGCGTCTCCATCTCGGGAGGTCTCCCAAGATGAGTGTTTAATATTGGGGTGAATTATCCTTCTTGAAGCAGAAGCCCCAAGCCATGAATTGTTTTATTGTGTCCTCATTTCTTGGTTTCCCTCACAGCTATCTTAACATGACAACTGCCATCTTTTCAAATCCATCTCCTGCCACAGCCCAGCTTCGGGCCTCCCTAAAGCCCCCAGTGTCTTCACACCTCCATGCTTGTGCACACTTTGCCACCTCCTGGAATGACGTGCCCTCCTTGCTCTCCACTACCCCTTTCTTTTCATTGGTATTTTGGTCAGTTTCCTGGCGATAATGATTAGAATCATTGGATGGGAGGCCAAGAAATGTTTTCTTTGTTGCATGACAACAGTTCAACGAAGCCAGGTGCCCACCTCTCTCCCTCTTGTGCAAATGGCACACCATCACCTATTTTCACCAGAGAGAGGGGACCAGAAAAAGGAGTCATTGCAACCCAGTCAACCAAACATCACCACTGTTGGCTGCCCACGGAGCAGCTGGGTCTTCTAGACGACTTGCCAATCAGGAGCAGTCTCTACCGAGGTGTCTTCCACAGTCCATGCTGATTGCCCGGCAACAGCCCGGCACTGCCTTTGCCACAAGCATGTACTGACAGCTGTTGGTGGTGGAGCTGATGGAGACCTTCACTTCCATCACTGCCTAAGTCACCAGCAAGGGCTACTAAGCTATCTACAGGCACCATGTAGGCCAGTGAGGGAAGTGGGACAATTCAGGTGTGAGAGAAAGGGCAGTGACAGAGACATGCAGGGTGGAGAGTACCATGTTTCCCTGAAAATAAGACAGGGTCTTATATTTAGTTTTCCTCAAGAAGACCCTAGGGCTTATTTTCAGGGGATGTGTTTTTTTTTTTTAAGTACGGTACAACAATCTACATTTATTCAAATATAATTAAGTCATCTTCTTCTGGAACATCATCATAACTCTCCAAACCCCGAATTCCATCCTGAATTTCTTGCGACTCTATTTCCTTTAGAACCATTGGCCCCAATCTCTCATGTCAAGCAATAGAGCTCTCATGGGGCAGATGAGAAGGGCTGCTCGTCTTTACCGCTCCGCAACAAAATGCATGGGTTGTGCAGATACGCTGCGTAGCCACGCCCATCACTATGTCTTATTTTCAGAGTAGGGCTTACATTGGGCAAATGCTTAGAAATCCTGCTAGAGCTTATTTTATGGGTAGGTCTTATTTTCAGGGAAACATGGTATCTATCTAAAGGGGGCAGCCTCGTCTAGGTGCTAATAACATTGTCACCATTCAGGAATATAGACCCTCATGCCCCATCTTTGAAATTTTCCAGAGAATCTAGGGAATCTAGATTTTTATATGAAATCTTCTGACTTCAACAACAAATTAAAAATTCTTTACATACTCTGCAGGCAAAATAAAATCCATCTGGTAGACCAGCTCTGGCCTGAGGGTCAGTTCTGTTTAACTTCATGAATGCCTACTATGTGCCCAGTAATAGAGCATGGTCGTGGCCGTGAGAAATCAGAGGAGACGTTCACAGAAAGAGGTCCCGGCAGCCCAGTGTGATAAGGTGCAGTCTGGACAGAGCTCTCGCAGAACAAGTTCTCTTATCTCATTTGATCTCTCTCAGGGTCCATCTGTGTTAAGTAGTTGATCATCCAGGCTCCAGACAGGGATCTGATACTCACAGAAACCAAGAGACTGATCTAAGATCCTTGGCGATGCTGGTCACGACTGGTGTTATCCCAACTCAGATGAATGAGCTGAGGAGAACCAGAGGGGCAGGGAACAAGAGGGACCCTCTGCCGGTAAGGAGAGCTCAGGCTGCCAATGCCTCCCAGGCCTTGCTCGGTAAGGCCCCTGGACAGCAGGCAAGGCAGAGTCATGCCAGACCCATGGTGAGTCATTTTGGTGTCAGCACCGAATCTCATCAGGGAGGAGACTAGAGCTTAGTTATTTGGAGCAGGAGCTACGTGGGATGAGGGAGTAGAGCCCACATCTCCCCTTTCCCTCCACCTCAGTGGGCTGTGGGCTACCCGGGTCATCAGCCCAAGCCAGCCTGTGGCTTTCACACAGTTGGAGCTCAGATGCTGAGCCAGTGCATTCCCACCTGGCCTCTGCTGTTCACTCCAGGAGGGCAGCGCTTGAAGAAGATCCTCAGGATGGTGGAAAGAGGCGCCATGGACAGAGGAGGAGGACGGCAGGACTGGGCTTCAACTGAAACAGCCAAAGACCGCAGGTTTTCTCCACCTGCCATCCCATTCCTGGTGCTGAGCCCCTGAGAAGGCCCCAAGCCCCTCTCAATTTGAGTTCCTCCCTCCTGAAACCTGTTGGGCTGTTAGCAAACATTTGTTGAGTGCTGGTGGCGCAGATAGTATTTCCGCATAGTGGAGAAAGGAGGAAGGAGCAGGGACAACCATCATCTGCACAAGGAGCCAGGGTTCCCTGAGAGCCTGGGACTTACCTAGAGCCACCCTGGGAGGCAGGGGTAGGCCTGAGCCAGGAGCTCTGTCCAGAGGCTTTCCTGGCTCTTGTTTATGAGAACTGTATCTTGTCTACAACAAGAATATCTACATGGCAACAACGATAATAGTTCTACAGCCCTTACAATGTCTCATACTAATTTACCTATGTATGAATATTAACTTATTTAATCTTTACAAAGTACTATTATTATCCCCACTTCACAGATGAGCAAACTGAGGCACAAAGAGGTTAAGTCAAATAGCCTATCCAAGTTCACACTGCTGGTAAGAGGCAGCGCCAAGATACAAACTTAGGCAGGCTGGCTCTAGAACCTGTGCCTGGAAACACCACTTGACACACTTCCCTTGTGGCCTGAAATGGATGAAAACAGAGGGGATAAGGGCATTTCGTTACTTTCTAAAAGTAGCTTAACTAATATTGTGGGGGGGGAGGGGTAATGCTAGAAACTATCTCCCAAAATTGCACTTGCAAATAAAACTATTAGGGAAACTTAAGTTTACTGGGTCCCAACTCAAACTTATGAATTCATCTACCCTTTAAGAAACTTAATAGTTACAGTAACCATTACTAAATGGCTGCTCTGCATTTTACTATACAAAACACCTGACACGCTTATTTCTAACCCTCCGCAATCCTGTAGGAGGGAGTGATTCCATCTTATGAGTCTGCGGACTGAGACACAGCGTCTTCCCCAAGGTCAACGCAGAACAGGCAAATGGAGGGCTGGGACACCCCCAGCTCTGTACCATAAGTGTGCACGGGCACACAGAGGAACATCTCACTGGGCAAGTCAACCTAGTTCTCCTTAGAAAATTGAGGGAACCCAAAATATCCATTCCCACACATTTTCGTTACTCAAAAATTTTCTGCAAAAATCCAATGTTAATATTGTTAAATAATTTGATGTAAAAATGTTGATTTTATTCCTAAAAAAGTCTGGCCATGTGATACCTGCCAGGGGTGAAAACGCTGATAGTGAAATAGTGAAAACGTTGAGGCGGGGAACACATTCCTGGGCCCAAGTTACATTATGCTGTCCTCTTTAAAATCCCCAGGGCCCAAATGAGGGGGGCTGGGGGCAGGGGAGTATGAATCAGTTAATGAAATTTAATAAAATTTAAGAACCACTGGGCAAGGAGGCCAAGCCAGATCTTGGCAAAGAATTGTGCTGCGGAGCCTAAGTCCCCAACAGTGTTTTGGCTCCTTTGTGCCCTTTTGTGGGAAACTTTAGCAACCACCCCCGCAACCCCAACCTTTAGGCTATAAAGGCTACAGCCTAGGGGCCACGTGGCGGCTCCTCCTCCCAATGCACCTGCTCCCTCCCTGCTGAGCCCTCCCGCTCTGGCCTTACCACCCAGAGTCTCAAAACCTGAACACGTTGATTTCCGCCTTACGTCTTTTCCTTACCAGAGTCATTTTTATAGACAGCAATGTTTCACCAAAGAAATTAACAAAAGATGAACTCCTAGGAATACTATGGAAATGTTTTAATTAACAAAATCTGAGGGAAACTAATCACATGGCAGGATTCTCTGCCCTGGGTGGGCCTCGGGGTACTCATCTGCACAGAACCGCGGCTCGTGGGGCTCCATCACCGGCACGGCGCGGCGGCCGGGTCGGTCCTTCGCTCTCGCCACGAGCCGCCGGGTGGCCCGGGCCCAGCCCGCCGCCGAGGCCGCACGGGACCGTGCAGGGCAGCGCCCGGCGCCTGCCTCCAAGCCTGCCCGCTGTGAGCAGCAGAAACCCGGGGGCTGCGTGCGCAAGGGCGGGCGC